TTGTGACTAATCTGAATTTGCAGCAGTTAAATGTTTTTCCTCATGGGAAACCTGCATCCCCCCTTTCACACAATCTGCACATTCTTCTTTTGACACAGTGATTAAGTGAGATTAAATAGCTGTGACTGGGCTGTTCACGAGACAGAATTAACACCTGATGCCACAGGCAGGTAGGTTTTCAAACCCATGCATAGTAATCTTTATTGGGCTTTGCATGATCTCTGTTAGAGCACTTTGGTTGTATGCTGATGAGTAATTTAAACCTAACACAACCAATTCATCCCATACTGTGCGTCACACACACACACACAAACTCACCAGTGTATCAATCCGGTCTGGTGGGTTAGCATTCAGTAAAATTCCACCCTAATAAAAAGCTGGTGACTCTGCGTCGGCCAGCCTCACACCAAAAGCCCCCATCCTTTCACTGTGTGCCAAAGGGTGAAACATGTTTTGATAACAGGGAAGTTGGAACAAGGATGCTGTTTGTTCACAGGGTACAGGCCCACAGAGTGCAAAACGCAATCTGTTTTATTTATTTACTTATTTTTGACAGAGATGTTGTCACACAGATGATGCTCAATTAGGTCTGCAGAAGCAAAAAGATACTCAAGTAGGAGGAAAAGCTTTCTTCAAAAACAGGAAGGTCAGAAAGTGACTGACACTTCTTATGGAGGAGTCAAGACAACACAACAGTATCACTTCTTCATCTTTTAGTTTATGTTCATTGTTTGTTTTGGGGTTTTTGTTTGTTGTTGTTGTTGTTTTGGGGGTGGCGGTATTACAGAAACAAATAAAAGAAAATACACAACGATAATGCCAAAAAAACAGAGCATTCGAGGACTACTAAATATAAGTGGTCTCTATTTTCCTGAGTGGTATCTTGAATACTTAAACATTGTGGCAAGAATTAAGAGCCAGAGCTGCTCGTCTCCTTCCGCTCGGCAGGAAGAACAGCTGTCGGGCTAAACGGAAACAGGCCAACACTCGTGAAACACAGCTTAACCTTCCTATTTTTAACGGTGACACGGACACTCACCGTCAATGTCTCCCAAGGTGAATTCGTCCCCTAATTCCGCTAAAGTCGGGTCCATGTTCTCCATGGTGGAGATATATTCCCCGCTGTCCATCCTATCTGTCAGCAGCTCTCCTCTCCGGTTGTCAACGGAGGGACAAAACAAACAAGGTCCACAAACTCCTCCGTGGGCGTTCGGCAACGCCTACCACACAGCTAACTGACCGCGGAATATGTCCTCTCAACCCCAAAACAACAGAAGCCCCAAGAGAGGAGCACTTCTACACCGATAAACTCATTGGCATCAATTTATGTTTGAGGCGACGCCATCTTGTTTCACGCTCATTACGTCATTCACAAACAGACTCCGTGGCTCATAGCGAGATCTGATTGGCTGAGACCTGTCCGTTCTTGTCATGAGACCAGTCATCATCGTCCAATGACAGGCCCGTATTCGCCGTGGTCTGATAGTACGTCAACTATCAGAAGCTTGGGTGTCATTTGAATAAACCGCTCCCCCTACCTTCACGAAAAGAACTCGACCTCGGTGGACAAACGCAGCTCCTTGGAAAAGATGACGGCGATAAACCCACACAGTCATTCTGCAGTCATTCGCAAAACACACAGTTTCACTCGTTTCTTCTATTTTGCCACAGCTAACGTGATAAGCATGTTTTCCAGCGCACAGATTAATACTATCATATTTATTGTCAAAGGAGCTTGCAAAGAAAAGCGTCTGGACTTCTTTAAGTTACTTGACCTGGATGACTGAGAACCTTCACAGACATATCATATTTATTATTTACATTTTAAAGCTTTAAAGATTACAAGTTGTGCTATAGAAAAAATGGTTAATGGCATATACTCCAAGTTTTACTTTTTAAACATAAAAATTGTATGATATTGTGTTAAAAAAATGAAAGAACTACAGTTGAGCTACCCATCTATAGTCACCTGCGACTCTATTAGGTAGGTAATCAATCACATTTAGGCATGCAGATAAGGTCGAAATGACCTGCTAAAGTTCAAACTGAGCATCAGAAACATGGAGAAATATGGGAGTTTAAGTTGCTTTAAGTTTATTGGCATAGGTGTTGGTGGCAGATGGGCTGCACTGTGTGTTTTAGCAACTGCTGATCTACAGGGATTCCCCCCCCAGACAACCATCTCTAGAGAGAATACTCCGAAAAACAGAAAGGTGAGCGGAGGTGCTGTGAGCAAAAATAACTTTTTCATGTCAGAGGCCAGAGTTCTTTAGAAAGAAAGGCAAAATAAGCCAAGGTATGCAGAAGAGCATTGGTAAATATATGTCGAACTTTGAAGCAGATGGGCAGCAGAAGACCAGACTGGGTGCCGGTCCTGTCAGCTAAAATAATTAAAAAATAAAATAAAAATAGAGAGAAACTGTGGCAACACTTTACGTGGGCTCACCCAAACTGCTCAACAGATAACTTGAAAATTTTTATGTAGTTCGATGGGTCTTTCTGCTGCCAAGTTATGGTAGGGTTCAAATTTGGTGTGAACAACATGAAAACACGGATCTGTCCTCCCCTGTATTAATGTGGTGGTGGTTTAATGATATGGGGGACATTTTCTTGGTACACTTCGGTCCCCTTAGTACCAACTTACCATCACACCACAGTGTCCCTGAGTATTGTTGCTGATCATGCCCATCCAGTTATAACTAGTGTACCTATCTTTTGATGGTTCACAGGAACCATCAGGAGGATAACACAACCATAAAGCTGACATCATCTCAAACTGGTTTCTTGAACATGAGTTCATTGTAATCAAATGGCCACCACGGTCACAAGACGTCAGTCCAACAGAGCATCTTTGGGACATTGTTGTTGAATCCATGCCAGGAAAAATTAAGTCAGCTCTGAAGGCAAAAGGACGTCCAACCAGGTATTAGTGTACCTAACAAAGTCATCAAATCTACACATTTAAAATGGCACAGATCTTAATTCTAAGCACCATCACATTTTTACCCAATGTGTTTGCAGAATTCTTCAAACGGAGAACCATAGTTGATTTATTGGTTAAAAAGTACAACTCCACACATATGGCATTACAAAAAGATAACACAAATATAATACCACAAGAAAAGGAGAAAAAAAAGGCCAAAAACGTTGGTTCTTGCAACTATATTTGTATTTTGTTTTATTTCACAGCAAAAACATGAACACATCAGTGAACTGCTGACTCATTTCCAGCAGATGTATACTTGTATTAACCTGTGTCAATACATAACTGGATAACTCTCCCGGTTTACATATTACGTGACAATAAACCCAGCCAATCGTTGCATATCATTCATGATGGAAACTGATGAGGTGCTTAAGATGACTTTCTTTCTGTTTATAATACTCACTGTAATTTTCTTTTTAAGTATGATGTGTGCTCAAGGACTAAAGTGTGTTTTAATACCAATGAATAAAATGAATCACAACCTTCTAACATGTTTAAAAATAAGAAACAACAGAATCAACACCCATCTAATATGCCTTTCAGTCATCCCACACAAGTGCAAATGTCATGGATTATTCAGCCTCGGCTTGAACCAACATTTAGAGTAAGAAATGTCTACCTTTTCTTTCAAAAAGCGGCTTCATATTAATACTGCATACAACTTTATTACACAGATGTTGTTGCTAGCAGTGCATCTTTAATCATTTACATCCATGTAAAAATATCCCTCACTGCAGTAAGCTACTGTGTTGTGTGGTGTTTACTTGTGAAGGTGGAAAAATAAATCTCTTACATCCTGGATTTGGACTCTACGCTCAGCCTGTATTTATTTGTTCCAGTAGATTTCATAAGACCTCTTCTCTGAGTAGGAAGCCTCTGTCGTTCCTGTGCCACTTCTCACTTTTTCCTTCACCACTTTCACCACCAGACTACCAGCGAGGGCGATGCCGGCTGCAGCTTTGCCGATTTCGGCCACCGCGCTCAG